TTATGGCGGTGCCTTTATGTGGACTCTTGATTTTGATGATTTCAAAGGTACAAGTTGTGGCAAAGGTCCATATCCACTGTTAAATGCTATCAATAATGGGCTTGAAAGTGAGGTAAGACATGTTTCAAAGAAATATTTTTAACAATTCTGTTTTTCTTTCAATACGTTTGGATTTAAATTATGCTGATGTTTGTAAATAAATTAATAAAAAAAAAGGCGAATGGATGAATCAGAATAGACTTTCGGTGGGACCATACGGAAAAATGACTCTATGAATTATAGGATAAATAGAATTTCTGTCCGAAAGTGATGACTCACTAACTTTTGATTAGCTGGATGGGGCATCAATTTCTATATTGACGTTGTTCAAACAAAATCTTAAATTTTTAATTATCTCTTGAAAATTAATTTTTAAAATTTAACACATTTTTAGCAAACACCATCAACAAGAGCAGTACCGGAAACTACAGAAGACACTGAAGTTGAAACAATGACGGAAGCACCGGGAACTGCAAATGATACTGAAATGGAAACAGCAGAAATGCCAGAAACTACGGAAGATATTGAAATTGAAACATCGACCGAGGCATCCGACTTTTTCAACAAATTTGGGATTAAATCCTTCATGATATTTATAAAATTAGTAAAAAATGTAAAATCGGCAGATGAAGAGATGTACACAGGATCATACGGAGAATTGACTCGATGATTTGTGGCATAAATGGAATTTCTGCCGGAAAGTAATGACTCATAACTTTTGACTACCTAGATGGAACGTCAATTTCTATATTGATCATTACGTGCATCAAACACAGTCTTTAAATCTTGAATTATCTCTTGAAATTTAATTTATAAAATTTAACAAACATTTTTAGCAGACATCATCAACAACAGCAGCACCGGAAACCACAGAAGGCACTGAAGTTGAAACAACGACGAGCGTTGTTAAACCCGGTTTGTTATTTTCAAGTTGAAAAAGCTATTCCGTTTCTCTTATTATCATTTGGATAATGGTCAGTCATCTGAGTTACTGCTTGTGCATTCTAGGCAGTACAGAAAATACTCATGCAAAGATGAGAAATAACTTAGGAAATCTTCAGTATTTTTTTTAAAATGAATATTTATTAAAATTTGATAAGCACACCGACATGGATCACTGGCAAATCATTTAAAATATTCAATATGTTTATTATTTCTTCATTGCCACATATGCCGCATACAATTTCTTCATTCGTTTTTTGTCTCGAAAAACTTCTCGATTCTACGGTATGAGAACCCTGAAACAATGAATGCACTACTGAGATCTGAAATCTATTTTAAGGTGAGGAATGTCCGGAGCCCGATGGTTTATTTCCGCATCACAGTGATTGCCATTTGTTCATTAATTGCGCAAATAACTATCCACACATAATGGAATGTCCGGTGGGCACCTTTTTTGATGACACAATCAAAGTTTGCAATTATATGAGGAACGCGCCGGATACATGCAAATGATTTGGCATTTTATGTGATATATATATTTGTTGGAATAAAAATCTAGGGTAAAAGTTCTAGAACAAAAAAAAAAAGACGCATAAATCATATTAAATAATCTGCAAAAATTGCATTAAAAATTTATTGAATTTCAAGGAACGAGTTTGCATGTCATTTGCTCTCTCTAAAGTATTATTTCAGACCCACTCCTGAATCTTTCACAATTTAAAAATTCTTTCAGCGAAATATAAGCTATAAATGAATAATATTGATTCAATTTTATTAGTTAATCATCCAACTAAATCTTGAAAGCATAAAGATGTTCAATTTATGAAACTTTTTTTAATAAGAAATTAAAACATAATTTACATAAAAAAGTAATGATACGCATTAAACAATTTAATACATTATTTAACATTTATAAATTATATCAGTACAATGCAAGCATCCTCCAGATGAATAAACAAACAACCGCTAGAGAAGAAAAAGTCCCAACAAATCAATTAGTCAATCAATAAACTACTCACGCCAAATGTAATTTCATTGGAACATATTTGAGAAAAATTGCAAAAGTTCATCAAACTATTGGTGTTTTTATCAATTGCCCGAGTTCATTGTTCTATTTTTTTTCCAGTTTTCCTCTACTCGCACCCGTTATTATGAAAAAAAAAAGAAAAAAATTTGCCTTTACGGTTGAATATACTCACCGAATCAAAATGGAAGAAATTGTGAATTCATCTCGTAAATGATAGACATTTGAGATTGGTTTGGAAAGCAAATGGGCAGTAAAAATTACGAGAAAACCAAAGCTTGACAAAATAATAGAAATACTCAACATATAGCATAAAAAAAAAGTGATATTAGCAGCAATATATAGTCTTAAGGCGAAACCAGTGAAATATTAGTATACCATTGTCACATACATTCTTATACGACAACTAACATTCCAAATAATTTGAAGCAACTTCGAAAACTCCCAAAACTTTTGATTAGCAATAGTGATTTCGGAGTTAAAAAACGTTGAAATCGTATTTTCGTTAAACTCTAACAAAATTCACTTTACTGAAACTAAAAATGGTCTCTTTTCGAAATCTGAATTCATCGAATGTATTTCTTTAATTTCTGTGCAAAAATTCATCAGCCGAAAAAATGTATATGTAACAATAAGAGCTAAGAATGATAAATATATCCCAGAAACAAGAATACTTTAAAACACAAGACTAGAAATTCAGAAATATTTACGGATCACAAGGTCAAAGAACGAGAGTAAGAAAAGCAGAAAGCATAATTATATAATATCCGCATGTGGGCAAATATAATTAATAGCGTATATATAAATGAATATTTAAAATAAAATTATTGATTTATATAGTATATGAAACTAATTTTACCACTTATGTACACAGAGTTATATACGCAAAAAAGTCTAAATTTTCACTGCTTATATACAAAAAGTTAGATAATGCTGACATGTAACAATATAAAACATCATCATTATTTAATTCCGATTACAATCCTAAATAGAAATTACATTACGATATGCAGTTGAAACCTTCCCTGAGTAGGCAACAAAATAAGCATCTACATGAGCCGCTTGCATTGTTTAACCGAATTTTTTTAAATTTGATTGCTCTGATTCTAATATCAAAATTTTGAGAGTTAGTGAGGTATTTTCTAGCACATAAAAATAATTTCAGAGATAGGGAAAGCAAAGAAAAGAAATGAACAAGGATACAAATACCATTATCATTATTATCATTGAATTCTGTTATCTTATATGTTAAAATTTCCAATCTATAACCTGACTGCGAATTTATGCAGCTACCTTATAAAAAAATTCACACACCACAAAAAACTTGCTCTAGAGAAATAAAATTGGAAAAGTAACATTGCAGGATGCATTTTAAATAATTACCTCTAATAAGAATAACAACCATAATTTTATTTTCGAGATAATCACGTTATGCGTCAATATGATTAAGGTCGACATGATCTTTTTTATTTTCTATTCCTTCGTTGTTTCTTATGAAAGGATAAAATTCCTAGCAACCCATTTGCAAAATAACTGCTTAAATGAGCAGAGCACCAATAAGCAAACTATTTGAAAGTATCCATTAACTGTAAATATATGACTAATTGGAAATAATCCGCTCATCACAATTATCAATTTCTTGAACAACAAGAGTTCGCTTGCATGGTAACTCGACTCAGCAAACTTATTGATCCGGGATCTTTGCCATTTTTCAAACCCAAATGCCTAAAACAAATTTTAAATTCAAAAATCTGAGATATAATTCAAGTGGACAAAAAATTGTTGGCAAGTAATGAAAGGAGTTATTACTCATGTTATAAAGCTATTTTCATTGGATGAGATGTGCGAAAAAAAAGTTTCTGTCAACAATTTCCCCAAATATCGACATCATTATAGATCGTGAAATTAAATGGAACGATATAGCGGCACCTTTTTTGGGGTACTGCAACAATGTTCTGACAACCGTTTGCATTATCATCGTTTGAATGGCATAGTATACTAAACAATAAAACAATTCCGGTAAACCTCATGAATCTTTACAACCGAATCAACTTTAACACCCTTCTACTTTTTTCATCAAACAAAAACGCACAGTGATGTCTAATGAGATTGTCAAGCTATTATTATTATATGCCTAGCTAAGTATATCAAAAGCCATATATGCCAAACTGAACCCTCTAACACAACGCATATCGAGTAGTAACAATTTACTTGAAGGAATCTCTAAGTATTCAAATTTTTACCTGCCGTCATTCTTTTTCATATCATTCGTTAATCGAGTGGCTACTTCATGAAATAATGTGTCAACGTTGGTTGCATCAAGTGCTGAAGTCTCGAGGAAATAATCAAAAGCATTAGCATCCGCAAAATTCTTCCCAATCCGTTCCGGTACTTCACGTTCATCTTCCTTGTCTATTTTGTTTCCTGAAAGTACTATCAACGTAAATAATCACACAGATATTTCACAAAAAACTGATAAATTTGAAATATAATGAAAAACTGACAAATAACAGAAGTAGAAGAGATGTAAAACAGCTGTTATTTGCTTTCAACTTCGATAAAGCCAGTCAATTCAATTTAACTTATTACTGACCTACTAGAATTTTTAGCACCCGTCGATTAGCATACTGTTCGATTTCGCCAAGCCATTCCGGTAGGCAGTCGAAACTTGGTTGGCATGCAACATCATAAACTAACACTATGGCATGTGCAGACCGATAATAACTCTGCGTAATTGATCGGAAACGTTCTTGTCCAGCTGTATCCCAAATTTGAAGCTATAATAAAATCCATACACTATTTCAAATTCTTTTTTTAAAAATGCTGCCGTGTATTAGGATACGATGGAACCATTTCTCAGCATCTGAAACAATAAGGAAAATCGATTCTTGTCAAAATGAAAGATTAAAGACTCAGAAATTGATAAAATATCGATGAAAAAAGAAATGAAACCTTTATTTTGTCCTCATTAACTTTAACAGTCTTAATCATAAAATCAACACCGATTGTAGCGCTTTGCCCAGGTGGGAAAATTCCCTATAATAAAACAATATAAGCAGTTAGATATTCTTAATGTAAAACGTGTAAATGTCAAAATTAAAGCTTTTAGTGTAGTATGTGACATATAAATCATATTACTATTTGGAGAAAATAAGTTACAGTTGTCCACAATGCACTATTTTAAAATTTCCAAATTTCGAGTGACTGTAAGCAATTAACTAGTTATTTTCCACCAAACATAACTTATTACAAAATTACAAGAAAAGAAGAAAACAAAAATGCAACCTGCGTGAATTTACGTACAAGGCATGTTTTACCAACGCCAGCATTGCCAACAAGTACTACTTTAAATAAATATTTATAGTCTTCCATGCTTCATCGATGTACTAATGCCTAAATTTAAAATCTACTAAATCAGCTTCTTTGCTATCGCAATCCACCAAATCAACTGATCCCTTTTTTCTTTTGTTTCTTTCTTCCCTGAAAAAATAATTTATTTCAAAATATATTTTAGCCAAAACCGTGTTATTTCAAAAAAGTCACATTGATTGTATCCGAATTACGAATTGTTTGAAGTATAATTTTCAGTCATCTCTGTTCAAATTATTGTAAAAAAATGAAAAAAATCAACCCACAATTATTGAGACAATTTCAGTAATTTTTAGATGACTTAGATGCTTACAGAA